TGAGACAGGAATTTGAAAAGCCCTCCTTAAAACTGGGCAGAGCTGCTGGGGTTATTAATTCTTTTATCCTAAGCCAGGCTGAGGAACTGGTGAGAATGAGCCCCAGAGTTTTAAAAATGCTCATTGTTTTGGAAAAAAGAAAGGGAAACATTACCTTCTCATCCCCCATTTCTTCAGTTAAGCTCTAACTGCAAACTGCATCCTTAGTCTTTGTCTCCCCACTGAGACCGGATGCTCCCCAGCAGCAACCATGCCTAGAAACCTTCCAACTGTCATACCAAGGCACACCTCAAGGAAGATTCCAGACACAGCAGGATGCTACTCGATAGCAAAATCATAGAATCACAGAATGGTTTGGGTTGGAAGGGACCTAAAGGTTCATCCAGTTCCCACCCCCTGCCATGGGCAGGGACACCTTCCACTAGACCAGGTTGCTCCAAGCCTCATCCAGCCTGGCCTTGGACACTTCCAGGGATGGGGCATCCACAGCTTCTCTGGGCAACCTGTTCCAGTGCCTCCCCACCCTCTCCGGGAAGAATTTCTTCCTGATATCCAATCTAAACCTCCCCACTTTCAGTTTAAACCTGTTACCCCTTGTCCTGTTACTACAGGCCCTTAGACACGACACAATTTGCATGTATGAGGTGAAGCATGATACGTGATTTTAAATACTGTTAAACCACAAATACCCAGAATTATGAGAAAGAATGGACTGGAGCAGATAGCTGAGACATGCTGCCCGTGACTGTCAACTACGCCAGAGCGATGAGTGGGGACAATACGAACGCACACACGCACGTAGACACACACTGCTTCCAGAAAAGACCAACCAGAGATGGACAGTAGTGAGGAGGAGTAAACCCAGCCACAGTCTACAGGCAACTCCCCAGTGTTCACTTAGAAGGGAAAAACAAAAGCTATTAACCTTTGTTCTCCTAAGCAGCACAGTGGACATCTAAAAGATTCACTGATCAAGCAGCTGAAATTCAAACGCAACTTTTCATCCTCTATCTCATCAAAAATCCTTATAAATACAAGCCGATTCCATCTACTGTAGTACTGAGTTTCAGCCGCACTGTCAGTAAAAGGTATTGTCTGGGAAACATGGGCTAAGAAGTTACCACTGGAGTATTGTATGTGAGCAAGAATACAGGAGGAATTTAGAAAAGAGGGCAAGTGCTCAAGATAACTGAGAGTTGGTGAGCCCACACTACCTCCCTGGATCTTCGCAGTGGGTTTTACATCAACAGAAACAGCCAGGATTAGCAGTTTGCAGCCCACCTGTAAAAAACAGAACTGGAGAAGAGAAGGCTCCGGGGAGACCTTACAGCCCCTTCCAGTGCCTGAAGGGGCTACAAGGAAGCTGGGGGGGACTTTTTACAAGGGTCTGTAGTGACAGGACAAGGGGTAACGGGTTTAAATTCAAAGTGGGGAAGTTTAGATTGGATATCAGGAAGAAGTGCTTCCCTGAGAGTGTGGGGAGGCACTGGAACAGGTTGCCCAGAGAAGCTGTGGATGCCCCATCCCTGGGAGTGTCCAAGGCCAGGCTGGATGAGGCTTGGAGCTACCTGGTCTAGTGGAAGGTGTCCCTGCCCATGGCAGGGGGGTTGGAACTGGATGGTCTTTAAGGTCCCTTCCAACCCAAACCATTCCATGATTCTATGATAAAAGGGACGGTTTTCCTGCATGGTCCATTCCCTTTCACTGATCTCAGGCACCGGTTGCATTAACCCTGGTGTAAGCACGTACACCACAGTCAAAGAAAATATTCTTTCTAACAGCAGAGTTTGCACTTCAACCCAACCCTCCTCTCCCACTCCCTGTGTTTCATTCTCATTTCAACCTCAGGCAGTGTCTGTACTGAGCTGCAGACCACGGCAATGTTTTATGATTCTACTAAAATGCTGTCCCCATCACTTCTGCAAATCCAAACCTCTAATTACAAATAATAACAAAAACGCAGGGCAGGAAGTTCTTCGCTTCCCATCTGCTTTTCATTAGATTACTCAACCCAGCCAAATCTATGGATAATTAAACAACTCAAGGAATTCTACATTTGCAAATGCCTTCTTGGCGAAGAGCTTTATGCTGCAGATCCAAACTGTCCTAGATCCTCTACGCATCATGTTTTGATTAAAGAAAATAAAGTTTGCATGTTGATTAGTATGTCTTATCAAGCCCAAATCTAAAGCTTCACATTAATTCTAGATGAAGTACCCTGCTAATGTTGAGCAAGGACAAAAGCTCCAAGAGGTTCCTTTTAGAAAAGTCTCTATTCCTGGGTAAAAGCCAACTGGGTGTTTCAAACATGGGTGAAAGGAGGAAATTAACTGAATTGGATATTTAGATGTACAGAAACACCCTGTATGTTTAAGCCATAGATTAGGATGCACTAAATGTGCAGAATACGGGTGGGGAAAATGCAAGCTCTTCTGCGTTATCCCAGCAATGCAATTCCTCGCGAGGCTCTGGAGCAGCCACTCAGAAGGGTCCAGTTTCCCATTCCGCAGCAGTGCTACTTAAGGCACTCCGGGTGCTCCAGACCCCATGCCACCTTCCTGGCCTGTGCTGACAAGGCATTCTGCGCGTGCAGTTGTGAAACCCAGACCCCTTCGCTCTCCCTTCCTCTTCTTCCCCTTCTGCATCTCACACATCAGTTTTTCCTGCAGGCAGATCGGCTCCTGGAGTTCTCCACCACCACATTCAACGTGCCTTAACTATGGGAACACCCTCCCCGGCTCCTACTAGCTCCTCCAAGCCACAATTCCTGTAACAACCGTGAAAGAGTCTTCCAGATTTCTGCCTCCCACCATCCTGTTACAGCCCAAGGTGGCAGAATTAGAAAGGACAATGCTACAAAGTAATGGTATCCTAAATTCTTCGTGCAGGGGAAGGGCAGGGATGGGTTGCAGAAACAGCTGTGACATTCATCCTAGCAATCCTTGCATCCAACGGCTCATAGTGTTCTTCTAGAGCAGTCTTTAGCCTTTAATTGCACTCACAGAACAACTATGGGGGAAGGTCAGCAGGGACACCCCCACAGCTTGGCAATATCTTCCATCTTAGGGCTTTTAACAGGACTTGGGCTTTTGGCATCAACTTTGTGACAAACATTTCCCAGGACTGAAAGTGGAAATCCACTCCCCTTGTGTGCTGTTAAGGCCAAACAGAACCTACTCAGCTATGCTTCTTCATTATTTCTCGTTAAAGCATGGCAAGAAATTACTCACTAGCTCATGACATGTAATTGCCTGAGCCATATTTAATAATAAATGCTTGCTGATGATTGCATCTATCAGCCCAGCCTGTATTGAAAGTTGCCCTTGTCCACACGCTTCAGCTGACCGCGTAGAGAGGAGTGACTGATCGCAGCGTTTAGAGATCAAATTCCAACAACAAAAGGCAGATACTGGATTTATGGAATGACCACCTGCTGCAGTGCTTTGCATGGCTGGAGCTCTTGGTGATACTGACTCTAGCAAATACATTCGCGTGTGCCCAGGAATTAAAGGCTGGAGATGCCAATGGCTGGGAGAACTATTTCCTCTCGCTGACAGCTCTCCGAAGCACGCCCATGAACGCAGGGCACCGACAGCCTAGGGTGCTGGGGACTTCCTGAACCTGAAGTTCCAAGCTGCAACACAAGATCTGATAAACGTATTTCCCTTTGTAAAAGTCAAACTTTTGGAGCACACCCATTTGTTTTAAACTATCACGTCAGCAATCTTGTATGACAAGGAACATCATTAAAATAGTGAAAAGGACCCCAGTTATCCAGCTTTCCAACTCAACTCACCGGCTGCGTAATGTTTTAAGAAAGCAATTTCAAACTGCTTCTCCTGATGCAAAAGATATACAGATGTATCTTTATATATACGAATATATAGATATTTAAAAAAATAATTGGAAGAGTAAAACAAAAGGTTTACCACCAGTAAATTCTGCAGAGCTCTCAGTTATGCCAGCACATCTAACGACAATCACTTCCAGCGTACGCTAGGATGACAGCAGATCCCATTTCCTATTTATTTTCCTTTCCTCAGCAGAGATGGGTATTAATTTGCCTGTATTTCATACAATACAAAACTGTCCAGAGGGCAGTAGGAAGCAGCTGGAGTCGTATACCCAGAGCAGAAGCAATTAGAATTCCAAGTTCTGTTATCCCTGACTTCCCCAGACACAAAGAAGCTTCCAGTACCTAATTAATCTATTCCATCGAAGTCAGCATAAACGTTTTTGGGTCACCTGTATGTTCTGTATGAAAAACACCTAACTCACAACACACTCCGGACACCGGGAACTGGGATGTTGCATGGAATCGCTACTTAGAGAGCTGAAGGAAACTTAAATTCTTAGAGTCTTTCAAGTCATGGAGGAGACAGACACGGACACCAGCTTACAAAACACCGAAGCTGAAAAGACACACAACAGCGGCGACTATTCCAGGAGAGGTAACGTGTAGACGATCGACACACGGAAAGGATCGCGTGGTATGGTACAGGATGATCAATACACAGAGTATGACGTGACATGTACAAAGGAGATATTAAAAACATGGAACACCAAGAAGACAACTCCATTCTCTTTCACTGTATCATAAAGCTTAATATTCATACCTGGTTTTGGCACAGAGTTGGTCACGGACTGCGGAACTTTGTCGTTGATTAGTTCAACACACTCGCTGGGAAAAAATCCAACCTGTAGTAAAAGCAGAAAGAGAGGCAGAATACTGAATGTGACGATTTTAAGATTGGAGCTGTTAAACCAGTAACGATTAAACATTTTCCTCGAACTCTGCTTGCCTGATGCTCCATAACATTATCCAACCTACAATGAACAGCCTAAGAGTAATAATTTTTCAAAATGATGCAGGCAAAAATTCTACAGACCGAATAATTAGTTCTGTAAAATACATTTTTCTGTGTTCTACGCTTGGTCTGCAGGATAGAGAGATTCAACTTGCAACAGAGAGTGGAGAGGATAAGTGTGCTACACACCCTTAAATCTCAGAGAGCCAGAAAGACTTGGTTTCCTGCAGCTGGCTGCATGCATGCAATGTGAAATTTAATGAAGACAGCAAGACGCTTCAGCTCTTAGCACCTCAGTTATCTGCACTCAAATCTCACCAGCACTTGACCCTTTTTCACTGTCAAAATACTGTATTTTATTCCTCTAAAAAAAGGAAATCAAATATGGGTCAATATATTTGCAGGCCTGCACAGTCCCACCGCAGAAAAACGTGTATTCTGGTAGGGTAGGTCAGGAGAAGGCGCTCTGAACGCACAAAGCGCCCTACTGTGTCGTGGCCTCACTGCATGCGCTGATGTGATGAGCGTGGGTGACGCTCCTGAAGCATTCAAACCGAGCGTGTTTGAAGATCTTGCTAAAAAAGTTCAATGTGGTTTTAGTTAACCTGAATTAAATTCAAGGTTAGAACTGAGAATAGGTTAAATAAAATATACATAAAATGAGTTGTACACTTGTAAGTAAGAACCCAGTGATTTGACTAGAATAAACACCAATATTTTTAGAAGGAACAGCATGGTGTAGCAAAGGAATCTCTAACAAGATTCTGAAGTTTTAACAGAACTCCTGGTGCGTATCTGCTTCTGAACGTGGACAAGCCCGTGCAACCTCCGCGCCTCAGTTTCTCCACCAGCAAATGACAAGGGATAACAGTGCCACATATCCATTCCTGGAAATTGCTTTGAGACCACAGCTGGCAAACATACTGCACAACCTGTTTAACCCTTCAGAAAGAATATTCCAGAAACAGCCCCCAGAGGCAGGACTCTCCTTAGCCAGCTTCACCAGGAATGACCCACCCTGGGCTCCCACAGCACAGTGCTGTGCAAGCGCTTTTGACAGGCACTGAACGGAGCTTCTTCTCCGCTGCCAGCATCCCTGACAATGAAAACACCTCTTCAACGGCTGGACTTGATCTTAAAGGTCTTTTCCAACCTCAAAGATTCTATTATCTCCAAGTGCCCAGTGCACATCAAGGTGGCTGATCGTTTTCAAACGCTGACCCGCAGCGTTCCTGCATCGACCGTTACCATCTTCCCTGGCATCCCCTCTAGCTCAGAAATGCTGGAGACAGCCTACACCAGCAGAAGGGTTGGAGACTGGAGTAAGGGGAGGATCTTAAGGTTGCCTTGAAATAGGATGTGCCTTCAGAAATTCACATGCCACTCAGATATCTCCGTATCTGGGGAGAAACGACATTATTTCCCTTTCAAGGATTCAGGATAAGGTGTGACCAGATAAGAGTTTTACACTTCCCAGCATCCCAACCTCCTCTCCACAGTGTCTTCCTTCTGACTCTCATCCCAAGTGTACGTCAAGCCCAACCAGACTTGCCTTTGGCAACTTTTATCCTCAGTACCTATTTCCAGACCTTTCTCACTTCCAGATCCCATCTCCTCACTCAACACAGCTCCCGTATTGTGACGTGTAATTCAAGCACCACCACCCTTCCGAGACGCCCCGTCTAAGACAGAAGCAGGATTTCCCGGCCGGTGTCAGGCATGTGATCTGGACAGCTGAAAGCATCGAGTCACTTCTCCCAGCCCCAGTTGGGTCAAGCGCTGCAACAATGTGTGGCCAGCGGATGGGCCCCAAGCTCATCAAAGCCGCAGAACTGGGCCAGGACTGCTGCCAGTCATGTCAGCACATCTATGAAATTCAGTGGAGCCGCATGGCAGTCGGCACTGCGAGTCTGGCAAACAGTCCCTTCTCTATTTATTCATCTTACACAACTCCCTTTTGTCTCCAAGGGGGAAAGAATAAAAAAAAAAAGTCTCCTTCCTACACCAAGTTGATTTTCACCCGTGAAGTTCCAAGCAATTTAGTAGCAGTACCATGCATGGTGTGTCTAGGTAAACACCCCAGACTTTGAAACTATTCCAAATTCCCTAAGGGAAGCAAGAGTTAATAGGAATACTTCTTCCCACACCCCCAGAATCCAAGGCAAGGTTTTGTCGGACACACAGTAATCCATCAGTTTCTGTTAAAGACTGGGAAAATGCTTTTTGTTAAGACTATGACAGCACGGGAAGAGAACTTGCAGCAGCAGCACTAGGAGTCAGTAAACATTGCCTCTCTGATCTATGGCTCCCTGTAACTGAGGCTGGCCAGTGCATTCCACTCCTGCTCAAGTGACTCCCAGAACTGAAGAACCCATCCAAAAACCAGGATAATGTAGGACTTCTCCCAATCACTCGCTCAGCTGGGTGTGCCAATTTTGCAAGGAGACGATATCTGGGAGTAATACAACGCAGTGGTGATTTTTGTGCAGTTTATAAATAGAAATATGCCGATTAGCACAAGAAAACCAGCCTGAACCATCACATACAGGGGCCTTCCTTGGGCAGCTCATGGCCCCATGATGCTGCTTTGCTAGGAGATGCTGAGGAACAGGCTGATTGGTACCTACAGAGAAAGTACCGATATTTAAACAAAATACATTCCATTTTTTTAATACTTCACTATAGGGAAAAGTGTCTCGGACGCTGTCTGTGCAAGAGATGCAGGAGGCAGTTATTAAGTTAGGAACAATGTACACATCCTGTGAAAATCTCACCCCATCAGACAAACGATATATTTGGGAGACTCCAGAGCGGAGGTGATACCGTCTCTTTCATTCTCAATGCTTTGAGAAGTCTTTTTTAATCGCCCACCAACAGTGATGCCTGAGATGGGTAAAGAAACCCGAAACACCTGGGCACCGGCCTTCCATTAATCATACCGAAACATGGTGGATGCAAATCCAACCCCAAATCCCCCACCACAATCAAAAGCTGGTTTGGCTCAGGTAGCTAACACCATGTGTTTCCTGTTTCAGTACGCAATGCTGAAGTATGAATTTAGAAATGAAAGAAGACCCAAGATGGTTATGTCACTGCTTTTTTGGGAACCTTTCCCAAAAAAACCCTGTACCTGTTCTCAATGTATCATGTTTGCCATCTTCACAACCAGTAATTATAATGGATTTTTTTAGGGAAAGCGAATTTTCACTCATGCTAGTGTTGACAAGCTCTCTGATGTTAACTCACCGCTAACAGTTCCGACAGCTCCCATGTTCTGACTTATTTATTCCAACTTTTCTTGCAAGATCCCCAAGGGATCATTGTCAGGGTCATAACCTGTAACTTGTGCCTCGTTCCCACCCACTCAAAAGATGCTGCTTTTCCTCCCATGGAAAGTTTTCCACGGTTTTGTATAAATAAATGAGTTTAGTCCAAGAGTTAATCTCAACAGATGTAGCAAGGCACTACTAGAGCTTGAGCCAGGATTAAAGGATTTGGCAACGTACGAAAATTAATAGCAAGGGTAGTATATATTTAGATAAATACAGGGTCATCTGAAGGTTAAAAAAAAATCACTACACACCTTAACCAAAGGCGGAAAGCACGGGCTACTGCTATATGCAAACATTTCTGCAACAGCCACTCTGTCTTTTATGCCAGCTTCTGCTAAACCGGAAGAGGCATGAGCTTTAAGGGGAAAGGTCAAAGTAACAGTAATAATTTTCAGTGTACGAGGAAGGAATTCAAACAAATGAGAAAGCTGAAGCAACATTAGTGGCAAACGAAACATTCTGTGAGGCATTTTGACTGTGTTTTTGATTTTGGCATAGGCTAGACTATGGGTTAAATTTTATTCAGATCTTTTTCTCCTAGTTTTCAATCACGCCAGGCTTACAAAAACCTAACAGTGCAGCACCGATGTTTTACTGCTCGTTTGGCTTTCACAAGCAGAACGTGCACTATGCTGCTTGCCAAGTAACCCTGTGGCAGTGGCTGGGGCGGAGAGCAGGGCACCCTCACCGTGCTTCCAAAGCAGGGCTGCACACCAGGGGCACCAGCTGCAGGAGGAGCAGGATCGTTAGTCCTCTTATCCTGAACTCTTGGAAAAGACAGCTGAACACCTCGGCCACAAAACCCTTCTCATTTCTTTTATTCACAAAAAGAATGTCGGTGTGGGACAGCAGATGTTAATTATCTATTCCTGACCCTGGGAAACCAGGTGAGGCTGGTCCAAAGCTCTTCTTTTAGCATTCCCACCGGCCGGGAACGGCGGAGCTGGCAGGCAGCGGAATGCTGAACATCACAACCAAAGGTCATGTGCGCTGCTAGAGAGAAGTGTGAGAAATCTCTGCTGCTCAGCCCCAGAAAGACCTTCCCTCCTGCGGTGCCCGCGGGGACGGCGGGCGAGCGCCTCTGCCCGTGCCAACCTTGCTGGGCGCCCGCAGAGAACGGGCAGCGGACGCGTGCAGAGTAGGAAAATCAGCTGGGTCGTCATTTTGCCCAACGTGTTGCTGCCGTTGGCTCTGGGCTACAAACGGGAGTGGCCGTCTGGCTGAGAAATGACATCAGAGGTGACACGTCCACCGGGGGCCGGCACATCGCCCGTCTTGCAGGTGAGACCATCCACCGGGCGCGTGGCTGCCCCTTGCAGTTCCCACACCGACGCGCGTGAACCAGAAATGGGAACTCGGCTTCCCGTTTCAGAACTGGTCTTTCCAAAGTGACACTGGCCATAAAAACGTGCCCAGCCTTCCCAGGCCATTTTGAGGAATCGGCACTCTGTGTTCACATCACATACCTGTTATTTCTTAGAAAACGGTGCACAAGGAAAAAAAATGCTCTCAACTAGCAGCCAATTTTACTCCCGACCAAGACAGAGCACGGCCCTTCCTGGGAAGTCTGTTCAGTCTTAAAGCCTGGATGCAGGCTCGGCACGGAACACGGTTTGAGAGCAAGGGCCTGTGTTTCACAACCAGTCCAAGCTCAGGTAAGCACAGGCTGGTTAAAAAAGCCCAGTCCACCTCTGGTTACGCACACTCCTGGGCATTGATTGGCGTCACCTCCAGCTTGCTGCCATGCAGCAGGGCAGCTACCCACAAGACAGAATTATTCAGAACATCAAAAGGCAGTTGTGCATCAAAAAAAAGGGCCTGTCCCTAATGATTCAGCTGCCTGAAACAGAGTTACTGATTGAAAAGACAAAGCATGAAGAAAAAGAAGAGGAGGAGAACAAAGAGGGCTGGAAGGCTGTTAGTGGAGGTGGCTGCAATCTAGGTAACAACCTTACAATGAAAGCAGTGACTCACTGAAGGCATTTGGAAAGAAAAAAGCTTGAGGAAAAATATCTTTAAAATCATTTTACTTTAACCAGAGAAAATGATAAGAAGCCTAGTGGGCTCTTTTGTTCCACACAGGATTAAGTGTCTTGCAGTGCAGTCATTAGATCAGGTACTGGGAGAAAGGCACCCACAACTGCAATACCGAAATGTGAAGGATAAGAAAAGTGGTGATTCATTCCCGAAGGACAGCTCTGGCTGGCAAAGAATAAACGGACTTCCATACTGAACCAAAGCTGCAGCCCATGCAACCCGTCAGTTCTGCGTTCCTGTTGACGTCTGAGGACCTGCCGCTATTCGCACAACACAGAGACCCGTATTTGTGAATTCTAACGGACAAGGGGACGTGCAGAAATGAATGCACCTCTGCCCAGACACACGGGCCACGGCTGCTTTAAACGCACAAAGCCAGGTGAGTAATTTCAGGCCAGACCTTTCTCCAGGTTGGGCAAAACCTTGCTCTCCACCTATCAAGACACAATGTACAATGAGAGCTGCAGTCCATTGGGTAAAACCGTGCTCCTTTCCTAGCACAAGGAAAACATCTGAGAAGTAACATGAACAAACTGTCCAAACACTTGGAATTTGGACCTCCCCCCTTTATCTGCTCCCAGACTCACAACTATCTGGCATTGTTGATTTATTTTATTAATTAAAATGACTGGATCAACAGATTGCTATCACGTTTACAACAACTATTGCTCCTTAATGGGATCAGAATTGTTTGCCTATAATAAATGCTTGAAAGGCTGCACCAGCTTCATCCATTCTGATACATATCATTATAATGGTGGTGGACGAAAAGCTGGACATGAGCCGGCTGTGTGCACTGGCAGCCCAGAAAGCCAACCGTATCCTGGGCTGGATCAGGAGAAGTGTGGCCAGCAGGGCGAGGGAGGGGATTCTGCCCCTCTACTCTGCTCTGGTGAGACCCCACCTGGAGTGCTGCGTCCAGCTGTGGAGCCCCCAACATCAGAAGGATACAGACCGGTTGGAGCGAGTCCAGAGGAGGCCACGGAGATGCTCCGAGGGCTGGAGGCCCTCTGCCATGGGGACAGGCTGGGAGAGTTGGGCTTGTTCAGCCTGGAGAAGGGAAGGCTCCGGGGAGACCTTATAGCACCTTCCAGTGCCTGAAGGGGCTACAAGGCGGCTGGGGGGGACTTTTTACAAGGGTCTGTAGTGACAGGACAAGGGGTAACGGGTTTAAATTGAAAGTGGGGAGGGTTAGCTTGGATATCAGGAAGTTGTTCTTCCCGGAGAGGGTGGGGAGGCACTGGGACAGGTTGCCCAGAGAAGCTGTGGATGCCCCATCCCTGGAAGTGTCCAAGGCCAGGCTGGATGAGGCTTGGAGCAACCTGGTCTAGTGGAAGGTGTCCCTGCCCATTGCAGGGGGTTGGAACTAGATGATCTTTAAGGTCCCTTCCAACCCAAACTGTTCTGTGATTCTATAACACCATTTTTCACCTATACGCTCTTCTAAAGTACTCATCAAGTTACACTTCTGCACTGAACCATAACACATCTCTAGTTCTGGTATATCAACACCAGAGAGAAATTTCTCTGAGTTCTCTTCTCACTGCAGCAGTTAGTATGGTCAAAAAGCTCCCCTACATCAGGAAATGTGTTTTTTTCTGTACACTCACAGCCTATGGGCCTTAAACTTGCGATACAGTTTAAAACCTCCTCTCTCTCTTCGTAGAATTTGCATCTCTTGGTAGCTGATGGTGTTTCATGGAAATGAAAAGCTCTAAGTACACTTCAAAGAAATGACAGAAACTGTCAATTCATAGGAAAAATGCACCTCTCTGCAAATCAGATCCGTGGTTGGGTGAAGAGATATGTTTATGCAGTAATAACTGAGCATAGCTTATGAAATTACTGCCTGTCAACTGAGATACAGCTGTCGAAGCCCACCTCTGCGCTAACCAGCTTTCCTCTGCAGTCAGCAGGAGCAGAAAGCCCACAGATGGTCTGGTACCCGATCTCAGCTGGCAGGCAGTGACTTCGTGAAACGCACCAACTTCAATTGCTGCATTTCTGCAAACACACCCCGAGAAGCTACTGAAACACCTCTTACGGCGGCTGCGCTGCCAGCAGCGTGGTTCAGCGGCCGCGACCCACTTCACATTCTGACAGACTCTTGCTTACAATTTAAGACGCCAGATTATTCCACCCCTAATTTTCTGTTAAACAAAAATACGGTGCTCTATTGCTGCAGCTGTTCAGATCTGTTGTGTCAGTACTGTGCACGGATACAGACAAACCCCTTTTCAAGCGCTCCGCTCATCAACGTATCCTTATGCTGGGATTGATCTGATCTGAGACAGAAAGCAGTGACAAACTGCAGAAGAGCTCCCTTGCTCCTTGTGTCTTTAATCACCGGCAACGCTCTTCTCCAGTCACAATTCCAGCCAGCCTGATGGCAAGCAGGAAGCTTGCAGTGAAGAATGGCATCTCCATCCTGCCTGGGAACGCCATCCACTCGCAGTCCATCAGCCCTGTGCAAAGTGCCTGCGCTCAGGCACAGATCAGAGTAGCTCTGGTTTGTTTTATTGATTCACTTAGAAGTTAAATGCGGCGTAGCCTGATCACTCCGAGCACTACTAAAGCATTTAATTAGTTTTTGATAGCATGGCAAAGACAGCTTTAGGGCTCCTAAGATTAAAACAAAAGCCACGCAAAGCCATAACACGGTTCAAAACTAGAACAGTCAAGTTTGTTCAAGAAACATCAATGTGTCAACTCTAAAACCAAATTTAATTTCAGAGCAGGTATCGTATGTCCACGCCGCTCTGAGGTTACAAACGAGATACTATCTGAACTCCCACATCTGATTTAAAGCCAACAAAAGCTGTATCGCACATGCTCTGGCTAACGGGACAGAAATGTAATCGTGTAACTAACACTCCATTCAGATGGGATTTGTAGTGTTTGGAGATCCAGTTGCACGCAGCCCTGATATTAACGACAGCAGAACCCCAATCTGGATCTGGTACAGAGAAGTCTGTCAGGGAAAATCCGAGGGTCTCTGAGAAGACTTTCCAGGCCAAAACACACAAGCGTCTGGTCAATTCTGACCCTCTCCAGAGCAAACACATAATTCCACCTACTCGCAGACAGCAACTGCAGTATGAAAACCCCTCCTCCTCAAAAGGAGAGGAAACGTGAGACACTACAGCGTGAGGAGGCAAGAAATCAGTTACCACAACCTTCAGTAGCTGCTGGGTTTTGTTTAGCAGAGACTTTCTAAGATTCCCTAATGAGAAAATCCAAGCTAGGGAATAAAACCTCTTTTGGAAGGAAAGTAGCATCTTGATGCAAAAGCTTTAGAACCTAATTCCCAGGTATGTTAAAGATCTTTTGAAAATTCAGTCTAAATCTTTCTGCTATAGCACTCGGAGACCAGTACTATGAACACGACCCGCTGAATGCAGACACGGAGGCACAGGTTAGGCGGGTGGCTTGTCCAAGTCAGCAGCAGTGTCTCATCAACCGGCTTTCTCCAAACCTGAATTTCTGCCCCATCTCATTCCAGACAGCGGAAGGGACGCGATGACTTGAATACCAGTGTCAGCTGCCTCGGAGGGGGTGCACCATCCCCTTCCGCTAACATCAGGCCAGCTGTCGATCAAAGGCTCGTGGCTATCCCTAACTCGCACAGTTGAGCAGGGAGAAAACTTCCCATGCAGGCCACGTGTCTGCTGTAGCCCAGGTCCAGAGGGGAAGGGGAAGTCCTCTTACGCCAATGCAAGGGCACTCCGCTTGTACTCATGAGCAAACCGGCGCAGGCACAGCAGCTCGATAAACACACCACTGAGATTCCTACCCTTATTTAAGTTGCACTATCTGGTCTGATGCTTGCACCTACCTGAAATCCATGTTTGCCCCTCCACCACGTGGTCAGCTCCTTCGGTGGCATATCAATAACAGACACTATGTCTCCCACCTGCAAAAGATTGGCAATATCAGTCGCCGCTCGTAATGTGTCTGAGAGGAAAGCACAACTCAAATAACTGCATTTTTCAGCACCACAAGAAACCACAGAACTAGAGCAAGTGCACCAACTCCAATCCTAAGACATCTGCCTTCGCAGAAGCAAACTGCGAGGTCGGAGAGTTGCTGCATTATACGACACACCGGATACGGCTGTCAGTAAGGAAACGACCCTCCACGCAGCAGGCTCTCTGCCAACGCGTACAGAAGCGTTCTGATTAAACTGCAGGCACAAGTGAGCGATGTCAAACGCTTCGGAAAATACTCTCAAGGAGCTGAACTCATTTTTACTCCATGGCCTGTGTATGTGTAGGTAGGCACTGACATACGTCTTCCTGTTTTCTTTCAGAGCGAAAAGTTAAGCTCCCTTTGTAGTTCACAAACTGACCAAGGCATGCTTTTCTTAATTAGAAAACAAACTAATTGGTGTGGTGTTACAGCCATGGGATGAAAAATGACCACGGAGACCAAACAGGTTTCTGAAGCTTTGCTCATCCCCTTAAAAAAAGGGTAATACTGCAGTAGTTCCAAAGGAGATCGGTACAGTCACTATTATATTTAGCTTGGTGGGAATCGGGAGCCGTGTGGCCTCTACAGTAGAAAATGAGACAGGCCAGAGCAGAAGGGGCAAAACCTAAGCAAGCTCTACAGCTGGGTACAGCAAATAGTGCTAACAGTAACGCCCAACTTCTACCAGCTGTTTTACATTGACAGATCTCAAAGTGCTTTACAGAGAAGGTAACACCCCCTGTTTTTCAGATAAGGATAACTGAGACACAGGGAAGTGATTTCCTCAAGGGAACAGCAAACCAAGAGCAAAGCAGATTTCCGTTACGGAAACTGCCCTCACCGCCAAGCGCAGAGAAGCCAGGTATTCTCCTCAGTGCTGGGGAGCAAATGCCCGTCAGCTACTACTGCAACTGCCTGTCAGAAATGAACAATAGCCTGAAGAGAGTTAGGGGTTAGGGAACAGTGGGTTAGGGAACAGTGCTTTGCTTAATACCGAGACACTGGCAAACGGCCTGTATCCTGCACCACCTGCGTTTTAACTTGGAAGAAGACATGCCCGCATGTCTTTCCGATTAGCGCCGTTCTCTGGCGTACACGAATAATTGCCTGGGATTTGAATATGAAGAAAACCCTGGCATGTTATTTTTACTGCCCGGGCTGCATGCTATGAATGTGATCACAAAGACTCCTTCGGGCACTGACTGTTTCCCTTTGCGCTTTTCTGTATAACACTGAATACTCCATTGATAGTCCCGCTGCACATTAACAATCAGAGCATAAAATGCCGCTTTCTGGGTAGAATAGACAAGAGCCAGATACCCAAAGACTTCCAGGGGCTGATATTCCACATGTGTGCTCCACAGCAGCTCCTACTCCACATCAAGTAAGATGTTCAGAACAGTATTAGATTATCACCTGCTTTTTAAGAACCAAATTCTTTCACAGTCTGACATGTGTGGAAACATGCAGCGTGAAACATGGAAACAGCAGAAACATGGAAACAGCAGCTCCTACTCCACATCAAGAAAGATGTTCAGAACAGTATTAGATTATCACCTGCTTTTTAAGAACCAAATTCTTTCACAGTCTGGTTCTTAAGAGTAGAAGCTCTTAAAAATGGTTTGAGACACAGAGTTGCTAAGAGGAGCACAGGTTGTGTAAACTGGGCAATGTATTGAACTGGCACGTGTCCACGCACACACATGTGGACAGCCTTCCTGAGCAGATACAACGCACTTTTAATGCGCTGTACAGAAGACTTGGCACTATCTGTTAAATCAGAAGATACTAATGCCAAGTAAAGCTATATTTTAAAGATGACTGAACTCCTCCCTGTATCCAACCCATTGCAAATCAATTGTTTAACCGAATCTTCTAAGCTTCACCTCACAAAACATCCTGAAGGCGTCCAAATATATTCCTGACATGCGCACACACAGAGACACACGTTACGCTCTTCTGTACATAACAAGGAATGTAAGGTCCTTTAATTATTTACCTCAAAGGACAGTTCGTCTGCTGCTTGAGCAATATATCTCTTAATAACATGGGCAGCAGCGATCGCAGGGACGTTAATGGATGATTCCTCATGGACTAGCAGGTGATTCCCCTTGTTATCAATCTGAAATAAAGAGCAGAGGAGACTGTGAGGCAGCTGAGGACATGTGAGGAGGCATTTTATTGGTGCTCATACACGGCAGAGACTTCAAGCTGATTCACAGAGACAGCACAGCTTGGGGGTCCCCTGAGGAGAGTGGCATGGAGAGACAGCGTAGGGCACGGCACAGCAAGAGGGAAGCAGACCAACGATTCCTAAAGAGTATTTCAGCA